TTGCTAATTCATCATGCAATGGGAAAAGAGAAATAGACAGAAAATGTTGCTGAAGTTATTTGACTACTTATATTTAATTTGCCAGATGTCATGTCATCCTGAGTTAAACCAGTACATTCAAGACACACTGCATTGTGTCAAGCCACTGATAGAGAAGGTGAGGTTTTTATTTCATATTTGATTAATGTACTTATTTACAGAAAAACAGGCTAACCAATCTGATTAGAATGGTTTCCATCTGAACAGTGAGTAAACCAGACTTGTTTTGTGCTCTTTGTGCAGAATGAGGCTGAGAAGGTTGTAGTGGTGATCATGGATAAAGAGCACCATCCAGTGGAGAGATTTGTGTTTGAGATCTCACCGCCTCCACTGCTATCCATCAGGTGAGTGACGGTGGATTTAGTGTTTTAAAATCTAGGTGGAAGTTATGCATTTTTCTGATATGTGTGTGTTGGGATTTGCTGTGTCAGCTCAGAGACTCTGCTGTCTCATGTGGAGCAGCTGCTGAGAGCGATGATCTTAAAAATCAGCGTATGTGATGCTGTTCTAGACAATAATCCTCCAGGTAGGAACTCAGCCATCACCACAAAACGATCCATTCCAGTAATTGAGCTCACACTTATTAAACATAAAGTTTTAATAGATTTGCATTTACATTGTGGATTTTCTTCTACTCTGCAGGATGCACATTCACAGTGTTGGTACACACCAGGGAAGCTGCCACAAGAAACATGGAGAAAGTTCAGGTCATCAAGGTGTGTTATATATATATAATTATTATTATTATTATTATTTTTTTGATCTAGTCTTTTCTTGTCTTTAGTTCACTCTGTTGACTTGATATCTAAGTGAACTGCTGGGAAACCTGAGAACAAAAACTTTTTTCTCAGATGTTCCACAAAAAGATGCTGTACATGCAAACCTGATGTGAACTCTTATATAGTTCCTTCTATTGTTTTTACATTTCCCGTACCCTTGGCTAGAAAATATGCACTGACTTGCACTATAGGGTTTCATTTATTGTATTCAGTTTTATCCTTCATCTAAAAGGGATAGGTCACAAAAAAAATGTAATTGTCATCATTTACTCACCCTCATTTCATTCCAAACCTGTGTGACTTT